TATAATTATATACACAGGGTATATCTAACTCCTAGGAAGCTTCATTTGATGAAGGGTATTAATGATCCTACGTGTACTTTCTGTTCCTCCAAAGTGATTGGGAGTTATTTTCACATGTTTTGGTACCCCAGTGGCCGAATTTTGGAAGACGGTTGCCTTTAACCTCTCTAGGTTGTTTAAGATTAGATTGCCCTGTTCGCCTTTTACACTCATTTTGAATGATTTGTCAAGGCTGGGTTTGACACTGGATAAGAGAAGAGCTTTGTTGGCTAAAACTCCTTCAGTTGGAATATAAAGGCCTGCTGAGACACAAAGCAGCACACGTTATCAGTGTTTCATCTCACAACTAGAGGACTCAACACTAAACACTCCCTGAAGATGCTGTGCTCTCATGGATTCCAGTCTGCCTTCAGTCCATTCATGGACTTGTACTGGCCTGTACGCAGTCTGTGGCCAGAGGTCAAACCTCTGCTCCACCAGCAGGATCTACTGCAGAGAAACCTACAGGAGCTCCGCAGCAGTCTGGAGCTAATGGACAAACTTCAACACAAGATCCTGGAGGAGACGGAGCCTTTCCAAAGCGCTGCCGCCCTGCAACCAGTCTCCTACCAGATGGAGAAAGAGGGAGCGTGCTTTGGCCTGACCCTGGACACCCAAGGCTTTTCCCCAGAGGAGCTGTCTGTCAGGCAGGTGGGCAGGAAGCTGAGAGTCAGCGGGAAGACAGAGAAGAAGCAGGAGGACGAGAAAGGCTTCTACTCTTACAGCCGGCAGGAGTTCAGACGGGAGTTTGATCTGGTTGCAGGGCTCAACCCTGAAGACGTCACCTGCCGCCTGGCTCCAGACGGGAAGCTCCACATCCAGGCGGCCAAAGCTCCACGTGTTGAGGAGGCTGAGAGAGAGCTGACTATCGAGAGGAGCTTGGAGGAGAAAACACAGCAGAGTGTGTGTTCACAGGCAGAAGGCAGCAGCACAGACACGCCTAAAAACATGGACTGATCTTTATGTTGTTGTGCCTTTGTGGATTCATTGTTTTAAAAAAGTGTCTTGTGTTTGTATAATATACCATTTTTAATAAATATATGAAAGGTTTGGCCTTTCCTTCTGCTTTTTTGAATTAGCATTTTTATTTTATATTATTTATTTAGAAGACAGAACTCGAATGGACAGAATGGACTCATATCAATCATCAATTTATTTATCTAATTTCTTCTGCATTTGTTTGCATTTTGTTTTTGTAAACAAAAACTACTTATTTCTTTCAAATTCCCCTCATTGTGTAATTTAGCATCCACACATAGTTAATGATCCACTTTAACGTGGGCAGATGATATTCTCTCCATTCAGTGGATTGCAGGAGACAGAAAACAAATTTAAGCCTTTAAAGGTACCAACCTTCAGTGATATGATAAATTCCCCCAAATCAACAAAGTATAATATAAAAAGACACATACATTTTCTTTATCATTTCTGTGTGAACAAAGGAAATGGGAACAGGAAGTTTTATATCATAATGAGGTCTGTGTGTTATCTGTCATTCAAATATTCAAGATTCTCTTCCTTCTGCTGCAGTTGATGATGAAGATGAGGCTTTTACATGATGACTGTTGATGTCTGTTTTATCATTATGTCCCCCTGTGACATTTGTGAATTTAAATAAAAATCTTATGATAAAAGGCAGTTTTTACTTAGAGTCAGGCAAGTCTGAATTTAATCTTCTGAGGATATCCAAAAATGGATCACTTACTATTTGGATGTTTTTTTCTGTGAACACGAACAAATCACAAACACAAATATTGTTTAAAAAGTGCAATTTCTGAATGAGCAGTTATTCCCTCTCCCTATATTCTGATATTATCACTTTCAAAGGACTTTCTGTTATTAAGGTCAGTCTGTGTGCTTGTGTGGTCTGGTGAGTTAGAGGAAAGTTAAGGCATTGATTTGATGAAGTGAGAGTAGGTGGATGAGGATGTTGGACATTATCAGATCTGATGGACAAAAACTTTACATAAAAGCCTTCCATCGCTGATTTTGCATAGATATCAAAAGGATATTGTAATTATATGCATTTCTTCCCCGGATATAAAAGATATGGCTATGATAATAAGAATATGGGTTACACGTTGGGGTTTTTTGTGGATTCAAACTTGCTTGGCATTAAAACTGAAATATCCAGTTCTCCGGGAATATTTCATGTTGCTCAGTCTTACAGCAGCCTGCCACTACCTGTCTGTTCACTCATGCACTGAACCACTTCTTGTTTTCTGTGACTACGAGTCAAATAGCTGCAGTAATTGGACAGCGGTGTCTGATCGGTGCTGTTCATTGCATTTGGAATGACATTTGAAGAAATAAGACACTAGTTAACTCTCCTCAAAGGAGTACTGAGGATTGGGATTCAGTCTCAGTGTTACTTCTCAAGTAGATGGGTTGAAGCTGAAGAGATTTGTACACTTGAGCCAGTCTGATTAAGCTAATACATGAGAACATGTGTGTAGACTTTACAATTTGAGTGATAGACATTGTATCTGTAATGTTCAGTTTACTTCAGCCATATTAAGTAGAGAAAAGTAATAGTAATCCACACAGTGTAGCACCAACTCATAAAATATTTATTAAAATCCATCTACACTTTTGATATCAACATCCCACAACAACAATAACAATAATGTAGCAGTGACCAGTTCCTGCCACTATTTGGTGTTCAGTGCATTTTCAGTTGTTGTCTTTTTTGGATACATGAAATGGTTTAATTCTGCTTAAAGATTACATTCTATATCAAACAGTGCAAGTGTCAATTTCAGCAGATGAGTGTCTTGAACTGGTCAGTGTTACATTCTCTTTCACAAACGTTTAAAACGTGCAGCTTGAACAAAGACTACAAAGAATTTATAGAGGGTGATCATTAATTTGAGCTCACACTCACACTGAGTGGACAAAAAGTCAACAGGTGCCTGCTATGAATGCAAAGAGCTGTAATACAAGTTAAATTGACCAGTGACACACTCAGTCAGGACTGATGATTTCCTGACACATATGTATACTGGGGAAGTGATGTTAACCAGTTTGTGCAGTTGATTAAGTAAAAAAACTTGAACAGCATGATCAAAGTTTTGATTTTCCTGTGAGTAAATGATGATAGATGCTGAATGTTGCATATTTGCCACTGAGGGGGTAGTGACATTTAGGTGATACCCTCTGAAAAGAGAGGAAACAGGAGAGGTCAAAAAGATTCCTTTCCAAAACACAAATACTGACGACAGCAGAAAAAAAAGTGTGAAAACAGAACAGACAACATTTAAAAACACATCCTTTGCACTCCTACTGTCTGGACAAGAATTTATGATTACATGACTTTCAGTGGAAATACTACATAACTATGACTATGACGACTCAAATGATTGATTTAAGCCAACTTAATTGACCAGCCCTAACTGTTGCATAGTAAGAAAAAGCTAAAGATGGGTGTCTAGGCCATGTCCTCTTCACCCTCCTCCTCAAACTCGCCCTCTTCCTCAGCAGTGGCGTCCTGGTACTGTTGGTACTCGGACACCAGGTCATTCATGTTGCTCTCAGCCTCTGTGAACTCCATCTCATCCATGCCCTCGCCGGTGTACCTGAAACAAGAGGATACTTACTCACATACGTTGTGACAAATAAGTCAACATCTATTGGTAAAAAGTTCTGTATTATGACAGTGTATGAATTCTGAGTAAGAACAGGTCAACAGGGACCACCGTCTGTCTTCCCTCAGTCTTCCATTACTCACCAGTGGAGGAAGGCCTTGCGGCGGAACATGGCGGTGAACTGCTCTGAGATGCGCTTGAACAGCTCCTGAATGGCTGTGCTGTTGCCAATAAAGGTGGCAGCCATCTTGAGGCCGCGGGGAGGGATGTCGCAGACGGCCGTCTTGACATTGTTGGGGATCCATTCCACAAAGTAACTGCTGTTCTTGTTCTGGACGTTCAGCATCTGCTCGTCCACCTCCTTCATGGACATGCGGCCTCTGAAGATGGCGGCGACTGTGAGGTAGCGCCCGTGGCGTGGGTCGCAAGCTGCCATCATGTTCTTGGCATCAAACATCTGCTGGGTCAGCTCAGGAACTGTCAATGCCCTAGAAAACAACAAACAATTCAATTAGGATCTATTTGAAATGTATTCAAGTACAAATTGAGGGTCTGATATGGTTTCTAAAAGCAGGTTCCTGCCTCTCTACCTGTACTGCTGGCTGCCACGGCTGGTCAGGGGGGCAAAGCCTGGCATGAAGAAGTGCAGCCTGGGAAAGGGCACCATGTTGACAGCCAGTTTCCTCAGGTCAGCGTTGAGCTGGCCGGGGAAGCGCAGGCAGGTGGTCACCCCGCTCATGGTGGCTGAGACGAGGTGGTTGAGATCGCCGTAGGTGGGCGTGGTGAGCTTCAGTGTACGGAAGCAGATGTCATACAGGGCCTCATTATCAATGCAGTAGGTCTCATCTGTGTTCTCGACCAGCTGGTGGACGGAGAGGGTGGCATTGTATGGCTCCACCACTGTGTCTGACACCTGGAGTGGGTCAGTGAAGGGAAAGAGGAGACAAAGGGGGAGGAGGGAACAGCATTAAAACACAGGGAAGCACGTGCAGGGACAAATATTGAATTTTAAAATAATGTATTAAGTGAACCTTGGGTGAAGGCACCACGCTGAAAGTGTTCATGATGCGGTCTGGATACTCCTCTCGGATTTTGCTAATGAGCAGGGTGCCCATGCCAGAGCCGGTGCCTCCTCCCAGAGAGTGTGTGAGCTGGAAGCCCTGGAGGCAGTCGCAGCTCTCGGCCTCCTTCCTCACCACATCCAGGACGGAGTCCACCAGCTCAGCTCCCTCAGTGTAGTGGCCTTTGGCCCAGTTATTACCTGCTCCGCTCTGGCCTGTGTTACATGCAAATACAGAACTCTATCACAGCTCTGGAGTCAAAACCTCCTGGATCTAATTCTACTTGAATACACGCAAAGTCAAACACAATGCACTTTTAATGAGCAGTGCATACACTGGCTCCTTCACTCTTGCAGGACTGTGGGGAAACTACTTTAAGGATATCCAGCTTAAAATAAGAGTGACTCTAGATGCTTAATCACAGTATGGCAATTTCATCAACCAACACATTAATGTTCACATTTAAATTCTCACCAAAGACAAAGTTGTCTGGTCTAAAGATTTGTCCAAAGGGCCCAGACCTCACAGAGTCCATTGTGCCTGGCTCTAAGTCCACCAGCACTGCACGAGGGACATACTTGCCACCTGGAGAGGAAAACACAGTCCGACAAATTATTGAAACAAATATAGCTGAAACAATTACTTAAGCTGCTCACTTCTCTTTTCTTTTGTTAGTATGCATTAAACACCTTTCAAAGGTTCACCAAACAAAGAAAAAAAAAGCATTTTGTGGGCCTGACACTTTAAGCGGCCCTAAGTTGTTGTGACTGTTTCTCATTTTACTGATTTAAAACTACAAAAAAAAGCCGTTTTGGCATTGAGTCACATGTTTGACATTAACTGTAAATCATTTTTAAAATGTCAGTACAGCCAGGTGTGCTTAGAGCAGACCGTTACAGTAGAGCTGCAAACAAAGCACAAAACCTATGTGCAAAAGTGATTTATGAACTCATTAAAGACATCACTACTACTATAATTCCTCCTTTACGACCCACTAATGCCTATCATTTACTGATAATGAAATATCTCGTTCTGATAATATTGATAAATAAACAAACTCAGTCACTTATATAGGGTCTAAAGATATCACAGTAAGGTAAAGCTAACGATTTTCTGTTTGTTTGTGATATTTTCGTCTGCTGGAGGTTTGTTGGTTTGTTGTATCATGGAAACGGGGTGACAGTAACTAGGAAGAGCCCCCTGGCTTCAAGACTGATTTCTAGCAGGACAAGGAACCCCTGCTGGATGGCTACGGTACTAACAAGCCTTCCGGGCAGTGTTGAATTACCTTGGCTCCCTTAGAAATGAGATAATCTAACTCTGTAGCTCGGAACCCTTAGCAAAGTAAAATTAACCTGATGCCTCGTTGTAATACACGTTGATCCGCTCCAGCTGCAGGTCGCTGTCCCCATGGTATGTCCCGGACGGGTCGATGCCATGTTCGTCACTTATCACCTCCCAGAACTGGAAGTGGTAAAAGTGGAAAAAAGGACAACAAAATTAGCTGCTTACTCAGTGACCCTTGCGAGGCAAACCCATCGGTGCCATGGACACCATGGCTATCATTAGCTTTGCTGCTAAGTAAGCTAATTTATCTCCCTGCCCGCCCAATCCAAATTTAACATTCACGCTCTTTTTTCGGTGAATTAAGACTTCACTTTTATACCAAAGCGGTACTCACCTTTGCGCCAATTTGGTTTCCACACTGGCCTGCCTGCAGGTGTACAATTTCCCTCATTTTGGTCGGAATTTAAAACTGCTGAATAACGACAGAGAAACAAAGTTGGTACAGCTCTAGGACTCCAACAACGGACTGACCAGATAAGGTAGGATCAACGCCAACTGGAGCGGGCCGATAAACCCAATTGGACCGGCTAAATGTCAGTCAAAGCACACCGGACTTGTGATTGGAAGGGGGAACCTGGCTTCGAGTTGTGATTGGACAGTTGTACGGGGGGGCACCGTTGCCCTGGTTACACAAAATAGAATTCAATACACAGCAGCGTTTCTGCAGAGGCACGCCTAAACTCTGCTTTGTGTCTCAGTGAAAACCCACCAACAGGAGGGTGTTCATCCGTGGCAACGCAAACCAAAAATTATACCTTTTCATTTGACGAGAGGAGAGTATAACTGTACGTCTTGCTGTGTTCAGAAACAAAACAATAAACGTCCAAAAACAAGTGATAATGCCATACATATTTCTATGATGATGTAATGATACTTTAGTGTGATGTGTTTATTAGGTCACAAGTATACTATCTAATCCTCCATGTTAGGTCTCTTTGTTAGAAGAGGAATTAACAAATTACTGTAATAATATGTTCAACTCACCTGTTGCACAAGGGCGTTGCTTCATACTCTCAAGGGGGTTTGCTGGTAGTGTTCAGTTCATTGTGTTGTGGGGTTTCACATTTAGATAATAAACATTTCTGAATAAAAGGTCTACTAATTTAAATCAAATTATTTAACAAAATTCCAAGTTTTTTGCCTTCAGAAATACATTTACAGACATTCAGTGTTGTACTTTCCAATTGAAGCTCTGAAAAAAGCCAGAGATGCTTCACTAATTACTGGAAGAAAATCTGTTCTGCAGTCTTAGTATCTCAGTTTAAAAATAATGATATTTGATTAGTGAGTATATACCCACTTGTTGTCGTACACGTGTCCTTATATACTGTACTAATATAAGTTCCAATGAAGCCACTGCACCTCTGCAATGTTCTGAGATCACATTCACCACTAGACCTCTTTCTCCTCTATTTGATTCAGATTCTGCTCATTGTGTTTATCAAGCTGCAGTAAGCTCCATAACTAACATATGGCTTCATTATAACACATTTGCAATGTCATAAAACTGTCAGAAAAGAGCAGACTGGGGTCCCAAACTTTGGAGTTTCATTTTTTGTACTTGAACTTTTTAATGCCATCAACAAATCAACAAAAAACAAACTGAAAATACAATAATTGTAACATGAGCGAGTTCAAAGATGATGTAGGCCTAATGGCTCAGAGAAACAGGTTGATGCTTGAACCCGAAAGCCCCACTTAAAGGCAGACAGGTTAAGATTAAAAATTAAAACCAGGTATAGAGACAAACTTTCATGCAAAAGGGGTTAGGCAGAAAATTATCAAACCATAGATCAGACAGGCAGAGTCAGGTTGGCAGAACAAAGGGTGGGAAGGGCAGATGCAAACTAGACAATCTGGCAAGGAGTGAGTGGAAATGGGCGGTATATACTGCAATACTAATGAGAGTAATGGGGACCAGGGGAGCAGGTGGGCGAGGAAAGTCAGGTGATGGAAATGGTGTCAAAGGTGTTACTGCAGAGCAGGAGGGTGTGGTTGGATCTAATATGACAGGAGACTTGGTAGATGGCAGGGGAAAAAAGTATGCAACAGAATGAATTCATTTTTAAATACAATAAACAATTCACATTTATGAATGTGACATTTGCCAAGAACAAAAAAAGATTCATAATTTAAAAAAATCTCTAAGATCGTTCATTGTTTAAGATGATTTAAATGTGTTATCATGTGTGCATGCAGTACCAAAAAAAATCATGTTCATCAAAGAATGAAAAGTTTGTGTTGTGTCCTTTTTGAGTCTTTAGAGGAAGCATTTTGCTTCTGTGCAGCAACTTAAAAGAAACCTCTCTCATCTCCTATGGTAGTACTTGTGTTAGTTATTAGTCCACACCTTCTGCCTATATTTCCTGTACAACTAATTAATTCCAATAAAAAGGACATAAAACATGATACAGCAACTTAATAAGCTTTTATATTTCTGTTGTTACGGCTGTGACCATTAGAAAACTATACCAACAAATAAATGGATTTTAATTCATCCAAATCCACATTTCAATTTCACCCCAGTCAAAGTTTTAAACATTTTAAACAATCAGTCTTTAAGAAAAGAAATGTTAGATAGAAAGGACAAGGACACTAAAAAATAAAAGCGATGAAATAAGATGCCATAAATACATGGATTCTGAATGGAAGCAAAGGCAGATTGAATTCAAGTAATTACAGAAACGTAGTTACAATATTTAAGTGTGCAAATAGTCTGTTTTTATAAAATGTCTGAGAGTTTATAAAATATGTAGGTACAATATTGCTAAAGTTTAAGAAAAAACACGTTATGTAGCATTAAAACCACCACATTAACAATACAATTCATCTTAGGGAATAAATCTGTCATTTTATTTTGGTAAGCCTGCCCTCAAATGACGTCGTAATTGTGCGACTGTTTATATGCGACACACCATCATGGCTCTGTTTCCAGCTTTTGCAGAAGTGGACAGTAACCAAGCTGAAGATTCGTGTAAAGGTAAAGCCCTTCATGTGGCTCCCGCTTTATACCGACTGTTCCTCTGCTCAGTACTCTGCTGTCACCGTGTTGATGAGATGAAGCTGCTCCACAACGAGCTAACAGCTAGCTGTCCAACGTCTGCCTGTCGTTGACGCGAAACAGACCCTGGCGTTAAGTTACTTTAGTACAACAAGTGTACTTTCCGCTGCACGGTTTCTTCAGAGAGCTAGGATACCGTGTGACTTTTAGTTTGCCTCATATAATGATGTTAGTGTCACTTTTCTCATCATTTATTCACTGTTTACGCTGTGTACACTCGAACACGCTTGTTGTTGGCTGCTGCCTTAGCAACGATGCACACCAGGTTGAAAACAACTGTTTCAAGATTCAAGATTCAAGAACTTTATTTGCCATTTGTGCTTGCACACATAGGAACTCATGTGCGGTTGTTGCTCAGAGAGTCAAGTCAAGTATAAAAAAGACATAAATCTATCCATAAAACATATACATTGTCCACTTTCTTGCATATCTATATCATAAAGTTACCAGAATATGAATACAGCCTTGAAATGTGTGTATTTCTGCTAACAACCGAGGCATTAAAGTGCTGGGTGCTGTAGACCCCACTCTGGTGTGTCGTTGTATTTGTGATGTTTGTGTTGTCACTATTAACATACATACATGTATTTAATACACGTGTTTACATGTACTCTAGTATCCTGCTTTTGAGTCTTGTTGGTTTTGATGGAGTGCAGTCTTTGACTCATCCACATGCAGCAAAAAAAAAGTCCTTTCTGGCTTCCTAGACTCTGGTGTGCTTACCCATATTCTGGATTTAACTTCTCCATCTAATCTTGAATACAAGAGAAATTGAGTCCATTTAATAAATCCAGTTATAACCGAGATACTACACTGCATATAAACACATTGAGTAAGTGATAATATCCATCATGAGCTCTCAATCCTCCTGAGTATTGACTAACATTTTTTTTTGTGGTCACTCTCTCCTTTTAGAATTAGACTGGCTGAAAAATAAGAGTTTTCAGACTGAAGATGCCCTCTCTCTTCACAGCCGGTACTTTGAGAAGACCGGTGAAAGGCTAAACAAGAAGGAATCAAGGTACAAACAAAAATGAAAGTTAGTTTCTTTGCTTGCAGACACAACACTGGACAGTCTACTATGTATGCTCAAGCATGCAACTTTTTACTTCTTTCTTTTCTCTTTATGTTTTCTTGTTTCTGTGTTCCTATTAGTCTTACTTGTGTCTGTTTTTCTTCACTTTGAACTCACTCTGAAACTATTTAGAAATAATCTAAAGATTGTTATTCTATCACTTTTTATTATAATAACTGCAAATAATATTTTGCTTGAGGCTGTTCTTTAGTTTAAATGTGTTCTTATGCGACTCTCATTAACATCGAGTTCACTTTATTATCCTCAGTGTTGGCAGAGAGGTGAGCTCTGAGGAGGAGAAGGAAGAGGGAGAAGAGGGTAATGTGCCACCAAAAAAGAAGAAAAAGAAGAGTGAAAAAAAGAGGAAAAAGAAGAAAAAACACAAAAAGAAGAGTGGGAGGTACTCGGACAGCAGTGGGTCTGACTCTGAAACTATTTACCCCAGTGACCTCAAAAGGGAAGAAGAGGCAGACGGGTATAGACACACATCATACGCATTTACACTCTTAATTTTATACACACAACAGCATTGTGTTATTTATGGTTGGTGTGTGTGTGGGGTTGTGTATGTGCGTCTGTGCAGGCCACGTGCTGCTCCGTTATCAAGTCGTTTCTCCTGGTTGGATGACCTCCAGACACCCACAGAGCAGCCGTTCTGTGTGGACCGCAAAGCAGACTCAGCCAACTGGACATACAAGTCCCTGTACAGAGGAGATGTAGCCAGGTAACACACACACACACAGAAACACACATACATTCTGCACCATGACGGCTGTGACATCTGTCTCCTTGGATTTTTTTCATTTGATTAAGATTGAAGGTCTGTCTTGGTGACTAACCCTGCTCATGCTAACCACCTGGTTCAGTTGATTACAAATCAGAAACATCAAACGCATCATTGAGTGGGGGGAAAAACTCTGTCAAAATAAAAGTCTCGATGTCCTGGAAATAGGTTCAAAGACTACAGTAGCAAAACTTTGATAAAATGGGTATGGGTTATCATCTTAAAGATAATTTAGAAACTCTCTGTGTGTTCCAGGTATAAGAGGAAAGGCATCTCGTCCTTGGGTCTGGACCCTCGCAGACAAGGAGTCAGCTGGGAGGAAGCAGAGTCAAACAAGAAACAGAAAGGCGGGGACAAGAAGAAAGCAGCAGACAGATACTTCTCTACAGCCAGTCGCCAGCTGCTGAGGTCCGAGCCACCTGTTCCTACATTACCAACGATTCCTGAGTGTGATAATGCCATTAGCTCCACCTCCTTCCTCCCACTGGGTGACGATGAGGAGAACAAAGGAGGTAAGAGGTTTAGCCACAACAGATGGTGAATATTCGCCTAAAAAAAATCACGCAATACCACTCAACCATCCAAACTGATTTTAGTCAAAATATTTTGAATATTGATTTACTTTAAAACCCACAATTAAAGCAGGAAGGGGTTAAAGTTCTCTCACATTCTTAATAGTTAATCAGTAAAAATACACAAAGTCAGGCTGACATGACTTTGGAAATTAAAATAAAGGCTTCAGGTGTCCTATGAAGTGTGGAATGTGTCCTCAGCTTGCAAGAGTTGAACACTACAATATTGTATTAAAAGAATTTCAGGATTTAAGTGTCAAACCTTTAATGTGTGATTCCAGGTGACAGAGTGCAGACATCATCAGTAAATCCCCTCGGTGTGTATGACTCCTCAACGGCCCTCTGGCTGCAGGGGAAGGGACAGCCGGAGCAGGCAGAGCAGCAGAAGCAGGACTTGCGGACAGGGCAGGGTGCTGCGCTTTTGGCCGGAAGGACTGAAGAGTTTAACAGGCGGCTCAGAGAGCAGCCATCAGACACACAGCTATGGATAAAATTCATAAGATACCAGGTATGAAAACGCTACTTTCGTTACACAAGCTTTGAACTGAGAATGTTTGTGTTTATATGACTGTCTGTGTCAGTGTTTGGGTAGCTGTCCTGCAACAGGTGACCGAACTGAGAAGGCATTGGCTACAGCCCAAAGCTGAAAGACAGATTTTCCTTTAGGGACAATAAAGTTAAAGTTGAAATTTGAAAGTTAGATTGCAAACTAACGTCTGTTCGTACTGTAGACTGTCACACATGGTCGGTGTTAAATCACATGGACAGTCTATATAAAGTAAAACTAGGAAATGCACTTGAGGCTGACATCATTGACATTTAGCGATTACAGACATTGCTACCTTATCAGCTAAGATGATTAACATCAATATGTATATGTGACACCAGTGAGATAATATCATCCTACAAGCAAACCAGTAATTTATCTGAACACTCAAACTTTTTCCTCTCTCGTTTTTCAATAATGAAGTTATTCCATAAGTTATTTCTCTGCAGCAATAATTCTAAACTTTATCATCTCCTCTCCCTCTGTAGGATGAGCTGAGTGCAACAGTGTTTGGAGGCGAGGAGGAGCAACAAGGCAGCGATTCGGCTGAGCGTCGTAAATCCTCCCACCGAGCAGTCCTGGAGAAAAAGCTGAGCATTACAGAGCGTGCAGTGGCCACCAACCCCAGCTGCATAGCTCTGCAGCGGGAGAGGCTCAGGATCTGCCAAGAGCTCTGGGAGCCCTCACTTCTGGCTAAAGAATGGAAGAAACTGGTCAGTCTACAGACTTCATGTTTCTCACTTAATGCTTTTGTATTTGGACTACGTGCAGCGGTGCACATTCAAGGTGCAATTACACCTGTGGTTTATTTTCTTTGCCCTAAAAGTGTGGGGAATTGGCTTTGCTGTATTTTTAGTATTTGGTGAAGGTGCCTCCACATTTTTCTTAAATGAATCCCTTTCTATAGCTGTGTATTAAAGGCTTCTCTGGGTCTGTAAAATAGTCTCATTGCTACTTTTTGTCACTGACCAATGCTGACATATGAGCATGTCTTTATACAAGGATAACTTGTGATTTATCTATTGCACTTCAGGTGTTCCTCCACCCAAACAGTGCCCCCTTGTGGAGAGAGTATCTGCTGTTCACCCAGAGCTACTTCAGCAACTTCACTGTGTCCAAGGTCAACTCTGCGTACGGGAAGTGTCTAAGCACCCTCAGTGCTGTGCGTGATGGCAGCATGGTCTCTCACCCGGCCCTACCAGGGATAGAGGAGGATATGTTGGGTAACAGACATTTTGTCATTTTTGCCTATACTGATCCAGTTTTTCTGCACTGAGAGGACTGATTAGTTACACATTCAGTTACACCTGTTTCTGTCACAAAAATACACACACAGATTAAAATGTTATGCGTTCTTATTTGTTAGTACAAAGTGTTTTTGTTTGTGCACTCAGTGCTTATTGAAAGTTGTTTTCTGTCTGTCCAGATATCTTCACCCAGCAGTGTCATTTCCTGCGTCAGTCTGGTCACTCAGAGAAGGCGATTTCTCTGTTTCAGGCCATGATTGACTTTACTTTCTACAAACCTGACAGCGTACGACAACTGTCCACCAAGCAGCAGGTAAACTCATACACTGAAGAACTTCAAGTACACCGGCACTAAACCTGATCGTAATTTTATTATTTAAGTTGTAAATCTAGACTTGATGCTATTAAATAATATTGGCCCACTGCAGTGACCTCCTGGAGCCTTGTGATCTATGTGAGGTTTTTAGGCAACCAGTGGAGCCTTCAGGAAGTCACTGTGTCCCGGCCAAGAAATAGCCCAGCACATGACCATGAAAAACCACAACTCTACACTTTATTTTCTGTGTTAATTAGTGAGCTTTAGAGGTGCTGGTAGGTGTATTTTGTTACCTTTGGACAGAACCACACTAACCGCCTGACCACTAGTATTGCTAGCGAGCAGTGATGTAATGATTGGTTTCCCATTTTGTGTTTGTGTATCATGCATGCACACGCGGACACGCATGCATGCAGGCCATTCAATACACATTCCTACCAATGGTTTCATGTTATTCAGCTGATCGACAGTTGGTGCCACTAAAGTGAAAAGAAGCATTACGGTGCACCAACAGAGGTAGTGAAGAAGACTGCCCGCTAGCAAATATGGATATAAACAATGCAGCAAATAAAATACTCCAGATTCCACTCAGTGCCTTTAAAACTTGTAGATATGAGAGTGGTATCGATCTTATC